GTTGTTGCTGCTGCTCCTGCTGCAGGCCCCCTGCCGGAGCTGCTGGTTGAAGCAGCAGCAGCAGCTCTTACTGACGGCCTGCGGTGTCTAGGAAGCTGGCGCGCTTTGCCTGTGTCTGTGGGGGAGCCAGAAGCACTCGACGAAGCAATTGCTGCAGCAGCAGCAGCAGCAGCAGCAGCAAAGCACAGCAGCAGCAAGGGAAGGAGCCTGCTGATACCGCTGCTGTGGTTCAAGCTGCTGCAGCGCCTCGCTGTGCGGCTCTTTGACTTGCTCTTCGATGATCCGAAGCGGGTACGTTTTGCTGTTGCTGTTGCTGCTGCTGCTGTTGTTGTTGCTGTTGTTGTTGCTGTTGCTTCTGCTGCTGCTGACAGCAGCGGACGTTTCTTGTGCTGCTGCTGCGCAGTGCTGACTCTTTCATGTTTTGCTGCTGAAGCTGCTGCTGCCACGGTGCCCCATACTGTTCAATTGTTATTTTTATTTGTTTCTTTTTATTTTTTAATTCTTGCATTTCAATTTTTATTTATTTTCAGTTTCTTGGCTCATTGCAGAATGCACTTGAATAGCGATAGCAGCAGCAGCGAGAAACAGCAAACAAACGCCAATAAACGACATTAAATGAATAATAATATTGAAAATAGTAAATAATAAATAATAAATTAATAAATAATAAATAAATAACAAACAAATAGAAGAGTTTGCTGCGTTGCTGCTGCAGCTGGAGGCAGTTTGCTCTCGCGTGCTGCTGTCGCGGGAAGCAGCAGCAGCAGCTGTGGGACGGGGCGTGGTGCTGCTGCTGCAGCAGCTGTGGGTTGCGCACGGCGCTGCTTTTGCTGCTGCTGCAGCAAGCTGCTGCAGCGATGCTGCTGCAGCAATGATGGAAGCAGCAGATGAAGAAACAGAAGCAGCACTTAAGGCTCTCCTCAGGCAAATTCACAGCAGCACGGGACTTCGACTCATTAGCAGCTTGAATGCCTAAACTCTTTTATTTTAATTTTATTTTCTTCTGCAGCAACTTGCTGCCAATTTAAATATTTATTTCATTTATTTGCAATTCAAAGGACACCAATTCCCAACAATAAATCTTTTATTGTTTTTTTGTTTTTTTATAAATTTTAGGCACATCTGCTAGGTTCATATATTTATTCATCTTGCCGAGGCTGCTGCAGCAGCAGCAACAGCAGCAGCAGCAACAGCTGCAGTAACATCAGCAACAAGAGCAGCAGGAGCAGCAACAGCACAAGCGACAGCAGCACCGACAGCAGCAGCAGCAGCACCGTATTGAGACTTTGGCGAAGCCCGCTGAGCGTTGCTTTGACTCATTTTCGATGATACCCAAACCCTAAACCCTAAACCCTAAACCCCAAACCCTCAATTTGGACGCAGCAGAACAAGGGGCTGCAATCGAATTGCAGATTTGCTGCTGCTGCTGCAGCAGCTGGGGTTGCTGCCTAGCATTTCGAAATGAATGGAAAATGAAAAATAAATAAAATAGAAATAATCCCTAATTTAAATTAATTTTTTGTTTGCTGCTAGTCTTTCTTATGCGCAGAAACGTTGTCTGCAGCACCCGCTAGGGGTTGTTGAATTTAGGGTTTAGGGTTTAGGGTTTAGGGTTTTGAGAGCTTCGTGGCTAGCTGCACATCCTAAACCCTGAACCCTGAGCCCAGAGTCTCTGTGTTTTGGGCAGTTTGCTATGCCTGCGCCCTCGAACGCTTAAACCCTAAATTAGGGTTTAGGGTTTGGGGTTTAGTGCCTCGTTGCCTCAGAGGCTACAGGCAAGGCCACCGGATGTTCGGGGCGTCTGCTGTCAGTGTCATGCGCTGCTGCTGCCAACACTCGTGCAAGTGCTGCTTCTGCTGCTGCTGCTGCTGCTGCTGCATCCTTTGCCGCTTTTGCGGCGTCCGCAGCAGCGGCTTCTGCTGCTGCAGCAGCAGCAACTGCAGCCTGTGCTGCTTCTCTCCTCTCGTTGTATTCACGCGTATGTTCCTGGCCCCGGGTTTCCAGCTGCTGCAGCAGCTGCTTCTGCTGCTGCTGCTTCTGCTGCTCAAGCTGCTGCTGCTGCTGCGGCTGCTGCAGATGCACACGCTGCTGCTGCTGCAGATGCTGCTGCTGCTCATGCTGATGCTGCTGCTGCAGATGTCGCTGCTGCTGGGGGTGCTGCTGCTGCTCATCCTGCTGCTGCTGCTGCTGCAGATGCTGCTGCTGCTCCTGAGATGAAAATGACTGGGAGAAGTCACCAGAGTTTGCTGCTTGAAAATAGCGGCGGTGCTTCAGCTCGCCAGCAGTAGACCTGCGCCTTTGCCTCTGCTCCAGTTCATGCTGCTGCTGCTGCTGCTGCTGCTCATGCTGCTGCTGCTGCTGCTGCAGCGTGGGCTCGTCTAGGCTGCGGGCCCACAGCACCCTCGACTGCTTCCGCATGAGTTTGAGGGCAGCCATGTTTTGTTCGAGGGTTTGCGCCAGCACGGAGTCATCTTGCTGCTGCTGCTGCTGTTGCTGCTGCTGCTGCTCTTGCTGCTCGTGCTGATGCTGCTTCCGCTGCTCTTCCTGCTGTTGCTGCTGAGCGCGCTCTCTGCCGGTGGCAGCAGTCCGAGGGGCCCCTAGGTGGGGGGCCTCTAGCTGCTGCTCCTGCTGCTGCTGCGGCTGCTGGTGCTGGTCCCGCTGCAAGTACTGCTGCTGCTCCCGCTGCCGTTGCTGCTGCCGCTGCTGCTCTTCTTCGTGCCTCACCTGCTGCTTGATAAGGTCGTACGAGGTGGGGCCGTCAATGGCGTCGAGGTCGGCGTGCTGCTCCTGCCGCCGCTGCTGCTGCTGCTGCTGCTGCTGCTGCTGGTTGATGCTGTCTATGCTACGGGACCACAGCAGGCGAGATCTGCTGCGCAGCATGGCGAGGGCTCTCGTGCTTTCTTCCAGGGTGTCTTCGAGCAGTTCTTCAGGCCGCTGCCGCTGCAGTCGCTGCAGCCGCTGCTCCTGCTGCTGCTCTTGCTGCTGCTGCCGCCGCTGCTGCTGCTGCTGCCGCTTCTGCTGCTGCTGCTGGTTGTAGTCTCCCCGTTCTTCTCCATGGTAATGTGTAGAGGGAGCTGCTGCTGCTGTTGTTGCATGTCGAGCCCCCTGCCAGCCATTGGGCAGCTGCTGCTGTAAGTCCGACATCGTTGTTGTTGTTGCTGCTGCTGCAGGTTTTGCTGCTGCCAGCTGTGCTGCTGCTGAGGCAGCAGTTGCTGCAGTTCGTCTGGCTTTTAGACAGAAGGCCTAGCTTGCGCTCAGCCGCGGAGACCAGGCGAGCCTTGCTGCTGCTGCTGCCGCTGCCGCTGCTGCTCTTGCTGCACCTGCCGTTGCTGTTGTTACTGAAGTTAACTGCCGAATAAAAATAGTTTGTGTTGCTGCTGCTGCTACACTTGCTGTTGTTTCTGCTGTTGCTGCTGCTGACGACGGCGTGGTGACTGCTGTTGACGCCGAGGCCTTCGGCTGCTGCTGCTGCTGCTGTTGCTGCTGCTGCTTCTGCTGTCGTTGCTGCTACTGAAATTGTCCTCGTTTGGAAAAAATTACAAAGTGTGCTCCTACTGTTGAGCTATAAAACTGCTGTGTGCATGTGTTGCTACAGTGCAGCAGCAGCAGCAGCTGCTGCTGCTGCTGCCGTGCTGCAGCTTACGCTGCCGCCACAGCATCGACGGCTGCCAATGCCTAGTCTTGAACGCAGCAGCAGCAGCAGCAGTAGCAGGAAATCCTGAGCGTTATTTATTTTTAATTTATTATCGCTTATTGTTTTTTCTGCTTGCAGCTACTACGATTCCTGCCACTGCTGCTGCAGCAGAGGGGCCCCTACCCCATTCAGGTTTCCCGGCCCTTTCTTGCTGCTGCTGCAGCAGCCGCAGCAGCAGCAGACTGTGCCACCAGCAAACAGCAGCAGCTGCTGAACAGGTCAAGACTGAGGCTTGGACCAGCTGCAGCAGCGCGTGGCGCCAGCAGACGACGGGCAGCAGCAGCAACAGCAGCAGCGCCAGCAGCAGCAGCAACTGTGAAGAGAGCACAGGCAAAAGCAAAACTAACAAGCAGCAGCAGCAGCAGCATAGATAAGGCAGGTGCTGCTGCCCCCACAAAATGGTGGAGCCAGACTACTCTCAGCTACTTGTCCCTCGGTTAGTTGCTGCTGCTGCTGCCAGTGCTGCAGCTTCTGCTGCTGCAGCTGCTTCTGCTGCTTCCCCCAGTAGATCTGCCTACGTAGTGACAGTCGTGATTCTGCTGCTACTGCTGGTGCGGCCCTAGGGCCGCTGCTGCAGTTGCTGCTGCAGTTGCTCCTGCTGCAGTTGCTGCTGCCGCAGTTGTCGCTGCAGCAGTGACACTGCTGCTGCTGCTGTGAGCTGGCGCTAAAGCTTCTCGGTGTCTGCTGATTTATTCTGCAGTGTCATTGCGTCTATGCTGCTCAAGGTTTAGCCTGTTGCTGCTGCTGCTGCAGGTATGACCCCGCAGCGGCTACCAGGGGGAAGTCTGAGGAGGAAGAAGCAGCAGCAGCTGCAGCAGCGGCTGCAGCAGACGTGCAGCAGTCAGAAGATGAGGCAGCAGCATCGGACGACGCACAGCAGGAAGAGGAGCAGCAGCAGCAGCAGCAGCAGCTGGGGGGTCCTGCTGCCATAGATCCCTTGGCGTGGGCTCGGAGCCTCTTTGGCGACTCTGCTGCTGCACCAGCAGCAGCAGCAGAAGCAGCGTCGACGCCAGCAACAGCAGCAGCAGCAGCGGCTGCTCCACATGGGGAGGCCACTAGGACCGACGCAGCTCGCTGCAGCAGCAGCAGCAGCAGCAGCACAGGCGTGCAGCGCCTATCATTGCCTGCCTGTGCTGCTGAAATAGGCTTCAAGATCCCAAGATTTATGCAGCAGCAAAGCAGCAAAGAGGTGATCTGCTGCTGCTGCTGCTCCTGCTGCTGGCGTGACTGCTACTGTTGCTGCTGCCCCTGCTCTGCTGCTGCTGCTGCTGCTGCTGCTGCCTGCCTCTGCTGCCTGCTGCTGCTGCTGTCGCTGCTGCTGCTGCGGTTACAGTCGTTGCTGCAGTACTTGGCGTGGGGGCGTATCTAGCTTGTGCATTTGATCTTGGTTCCACGCGTGGCTGCTCCTGCTGCTGCATTTGCTGCTGCTGCTGCTGCATTTGCTGCTGCTGCTGCTGCAGGCAGCTGCGCTGCTTCGCCAGCAGCGTCAGTCTTTGAAAGAAGATTATATGTCGAAACACAGAGCAGCACTCAAGGCCAAAAGAGCAGCAGCAAACCCCAGCTAGACCCTGCTGCTGCTGCTGCTGTTGCTGCAGTTGCTGCAGCTGCAGCAGCCAGCTAGACCGCTGCTGCTGCTGTTGTTGCTGCAGTTTCTGCAGCTGCAGCAGCCAGCTAGACCTCTGTTGCTGCTGCCGTTGCTGCAGTTGCTGCAGCAGACAGCTAGACTCCACTGCTGCTGTTATTGCTGCAGTTTCTGCAGCTGCAGCAGCTGCGCGTTCTGCTGTAGCCAGTGCAACTGTAGCTGCAGCAGCAGCATTTCTTCCTGTGAGTGCTGCAGCATCAGCTGCAGCATTCGCAGCTGCGAAGCGACGCTGCTGCTGGCGCTGCAGCAGCAGCAGCAGCAGCGCTATCAGCAGCAGCAGCGCCATCAGCAGCAGCGCCAGCAGCAGCAGCAAAGCGGGAAATTTAATTTTTAAATTTCAGCAACTGTGCGAGCTAGCAGCAGCAACAAGCCGGGGCTGCTGCTGCTTGCCATTTCTTTTATTTGCTTTTCATCTTTTCGCTAGATTCCAAAAAGTGTTTTTTGAAAACTCTTGCTGCCTAATTTGCTGCTGCTGCTGCTGGCGATTGTCTAGACACTGCAGCCTTGGCTGCTGCGCTGCTCTGCTTTAACGTTTCTGCCATTTACTCGTTTTGCTTCTCTTTTTGCTGCTATTGTGTCTGCTGCTGCTGCTGCTGTAGCTGCTGCTGCTGTTTGACTGGTTACAGCAGTCGTTGGCTGTGTCTTTCTGACGCTGCTTCCTTCTGTGTTATGCTGGTCGCTGCTGCTGCTGGCGCTATGGGTGGGAGGCATTCGAAGCATCTGCTGCTGCTGCTGCTACCGCTGCTCTTTGCTAATGCAACCTCTGCTACTGCTGCTGCTGCTCTTTGCTGCTGCTGCTGCCCCCTTTGGGCTCCTTCGAGCTTCTGGCTGCGTGGCCTCTTCTGTCTGTACACCGAGGGGCCCACTCGGCGCCCGCAGCAGCAGCAGCAGCAGCGCAGGGGCAGCACAAAAACGCGGCAAAGAGCGATAAATTAAGACGCCACTCTCACTTTAAACACTTACTTGTACTTATTTGTTAAAATGATTTAATTTCGCTCCGGCTTTTGCTGCGGGCTTCGGCCACGCTGCTCAGGTGGATGTACACTGTAGAGCCGCAGACTGGTGTGGTGGTTGGTGTTGACTGGTTGAGGGCTGTTTGCTGCGTTTGTTAGACATAAATAGGAAGTAAAGAATTCATTTAATTGAATTTAATTCTTTTCCCCCTTTCTTTCCCTTTTGTCTTTTCCCTGCACCCAAATCTGCAGCTGCTTTCCGCCGCAGCAGCAGCAGCAGCAGCAATTCGCTCATCCCAGGGGGCTGCGTCTGTCTGCTGGTTGCATGTGCTGCATTACTCTTTAAATTGTTTTATTTTTTAAATTAATTCACTCGCCGCCAAAATGGCAGACGGACAACACACAAACGCGCCTCGCCCGCATCCTGCTGCTCAAGACAGCGGCGCAGCAGCAGCAGCAGCAGCAGCAGCTGTAGGGGGAGGCTCTGATGCCGATACACAGAAACAGGGCGAGGAGCACCGACGAGCAGACCAGCAGCACACTGCAGCAGCACACGCTGCAGCAGCATCTACAGCAGCTGCTTCTGCTGCAGAGGTTGCAGCAGCTGCAGCAGCAGCAACAGCTGGCGCTCCCGAAACAGAGGTAGTAGCACCCACAGAATCAGCAGCAGAAGGCACAGCAGCAGCAGCAGACGACGCGCAAGAAGCTCATGCGCTTGTAGAAGGCTCGCAGCAGCAAGAAACAAGCAGCAGCAGCGGCAGCGGCAGCGGCAGCGGCAGCACCTGCAGCAGCAACAACGCAGCGCGCGAAGCTGCCACAGAAGAAACCACCAGCAGCAACAGCAAGAGCAGCAGCAGCACGAGCGACGAGTCGCCGGCAGCCGCAGCCGCCGCAGCAGCGCCCGAAGGCGGCGAGAGCCGCCGCCGCGGCAGCAGCAGGAGAAACCCCTACACCAGCAGCAGCAGCAGCAGCAGCAGCAGCAGCGTGTCAGCTTTGGAGGCAAAACAGAGAGCTCGTCTTAAAAGACAATTCGTCAGAACTCCTTGGCTTGATATCAACAAGGCGCCTTCCTGGCCGCCCATTAAGAAGAACAAAGTTCGTTTCTTATTATTTGAATTTAATTAATTTGATTAATTTGATTAATTTGATTAATATAATTAATTAAATTAGTTAAATTAATTAAATTAATTAAATTAATTAAATTAATTAAATCAATTAAATTAATTAAACTTAGCTAGATCATTTTGTCTCAGTCCTGTAGTGCAAACTCCCCGCCTCTCCATTGTTTTCTTAATCTCTCTGTCGCTGCGTCGTGAAATTCTCTTTCCTGCAACAGCAGCAGCAGCAGCAGCTGCTGCTGCTGCTGCTGCTGTTGCTGCGGCGGCGGCGGCGTCTTTGGTTTCCTTCTTGCTTGCGGCTTCAGCTTTCTCTGTTTTCCTCATATTCCGCCTCTCTTTAAATTATTATTTATATTCTGCATTTGAATTTCCATCAATTATTTATTTATTTATTTATTTATCTAATTAATTAATTAATTAATTTATTTATTTATTTATCTATTTATTTATTTCAGCGAATTGTGAGCATCTCCGTTTGCCCACAATCTTTTGCTGCTTCCGCCATTTCCCTTTTCAGTTCCCCTTTAGGGCCTTTATTGCCTCTTATTCTCGTTTACTCGTATCTATTAATTCATGAATAATAAATGAATAAATCAATCAATAAGCTAATCAAATAAAAAATAAATAAATAAATAAATAAATTAATTAATTAATTAAAATGCTACTTCGCAGTATTTGGACTCCGACTGGAAGACGGTGGACTTTCGCCCGCAGACGCCGGAGACGAAGAAAAGCAGGTAATTCAACTTTGTTTTTTCAATTTTTCAATTTGTTGAATTCTTCGATTTCTTTTAAATCTCTTTTGATTATTTAAATTCATTTTTGAGCATTTTAATCGGAGTTGAAATCATGTAAAAGTCTAAAGTCTTTTATTCTCCTCTTTGTCGCTTCTTTTCCGCTTTTTGGGACTTTTTTTGATCACTTGCCACCTTTTCAGCGCGCTGCGCCTTGTGGTGGTGCTTTTGGGGGTAGAAGACGGAACTGCAGCAGCAGCAGCAGCAGATCCATTTAGATCCATATGGATATGTTTAAATCCATTTGGATCATAAGTTGCTTCATCTAGAGAGGGCTGCAGCTGCTGCTGCTGCGCAGCTGCTGTCTTGCTGCGGTCTTCTGCTGCTCGCCGTGCAGTTCGTTCGCTGCCGCGAGAAATTCTCATTCACTCGCTCCCGCTGCTGCTGCTGCTGCTGCTCTTGCTGCTTTGTGGTCTTAGGCTTTTCTTGAATTCACTTTGTTACTTATGTGAAGGAGTCATCACCAAGAAAAGCACTCTCGGCAGGAAGGCAGGTACCAACCTGCTCCTGTTGCTGTTGCTGCTGCAATTGCTGCTGCTGCTGCTGCTGCTCTTGCGTCGTTTTTGTTGCTGCTCGCCTCGCAGCTACCCGATTCACAACACTGGAGCTATTTATTGTTGAATTTACTCCTTTTATCTTCTAATTATTTCTTTATTCTTCGTCAGGTCTGGGTCTTTTCTGCGAACGCCCAGAGGGCTTTGCCAAGGGCGCTGTCATAACCGAATTCGTTGGCTGGCTCGTAGACAGAGAACAGGCGGAGCAGCTGAGAAAAAGAAGAAAGGCCTCGCACATTGTCGCCGTCCAGGTTAGACGTGCTGCTGCTGCTGCCGCTGCCGCTGCTGCTGCTGGGTCTCACTTGCTGCAGTGGCTGGTGGGCTGCCGATGCTCTTAGGTCCTTTCTTTGCCCGTCTTCGATTGGATAAATAATATTAAACGTTAGTTCTAAATGAGAGAAGGAATTCACTCTTGTAACTTTTGTGTGAGGCTTCTTGACCTTCAGCTGTGCATTTGGATGAAACAGCCTAGCTGATAACTACATCTTTGTCTGACAACAATTAATGATGATAAACGTCAATCAATAGGTTAATCGATTAATTAATTAATTGCTTAATTGATAGGCCATTCACAGTCCCTCATGCCTGAGACGAAGATTCTTTTATCCTTTTTTATGTATTTTCCGATTTCAATTTCGACAATTAAATGGTTTGATTCTTTCTCACTTTCAGAAGGGCTTTCTCTACATCGACGGTGTCAAAGACCCGTATTACGGCACCGGAGGCGCGAGCTTCGCCAACGACGGCAGCGAATTCCTGGGGGGTCCAGGAAACAATTCCTATTTCTATCACTGGTAAGTCTGCTGCTGCAGCGCTCCTTCCGTCCTGCTTGCTGCTGCAGGAGGCTTTTCCTGCTGTCTTCTGTTCCGGCAGGCTTTTCATGCTGTTTGCTGTAGCAGCAGGCATTCAGTGCTGCTCGCTGTTGCAGCAGGGCGTTCGCTCCCTTTGCTGCTGCAGCAAGGCGTTCGCGCTGTTTGCTGCTGCAGCAGCGCGAGCTTTTACGCTGGCATTTCGACGAGTTCCGTTTCATTTCGTTGCAATTACTGCAATTTCGGCTTCTTGTCTTTATTGCTCTCCATCGCTGCCGCGGGAGCTCGCCATTTCTGACAGCTTTGCTGCTCCCCGTTGCTGCTGCTGCGGTGCTGCTTCTGCTGCTGCTGCTGCGCAGGTTTGACGAGGAGTTGGGGCGCACTCGAGTGTTTCTGCGCGCGACGCGCAGCATCGCCAACGGGGAAGAGATTTTCGTTCCTTATGACAAAAACTACTGGCAAGACAACTTTGAAGAACAAGTAAGGAACCCGCAACACTGAAGCAGCAGCAGTAGCAACAGCGGCAGCAGCAGCAAGAGCAGCAGCAGCGAAGGGAGCTTACTTTTTCCTCATCAGTTGCCGATTGCACCCCTCCTTCAGTTCGTTGTATCTCCTTTGCTTGATTTTCGTTATGAATTTATTCGATAGGTCTTTTTTTCCCTCAGGAAGAGAACTGTCCAGATGCATTCCGCAAGCGCAAGATAGAGCAGCTGCAGCGGAAGTACAAAGACTTCACAATTACCTCCATGCAGGACCTTAAGGCCCGACAGGTCCGTGACCAGTTGCTGCTGCTTTGCTGCTACTGCTGCTGCAAGTGCCCCTTATTGGGAGCTGCGGCTCCCGGCAAAGTTGCTGCAAGCGTTTGCATTGCTGCTGCTGCAGCTGCCGCAGCACTGCGTGCTGCCACTCACTGCTGCAATGCGCGATGCCACTCTTTGCTGCTGCTGTGTGTGGGTCTTCTTTGTGTTTCAGGCTCTGATGGAGCAGCAAAGGCGGCTGAAGCGGGAGAAGGCGAGGGAGCTGAAGCGGAAACCCCTGAAGCCAAACCTGAAAAGGCCACTGTCGGCCTTCATGAGGTTTTCCGTGAGCAGACGGAAAGAACTCGTGGCTGCGAATCCGGAGCTGCGGCACCCCAAGTGCTTCAAGGAAATTGCCCAGACGATTTCGCAGGACTGGAAATGCCTCAGCGCCAAAAAGAGAGCCGAACTTGAACAAGAAGCTGCAGCGGACTTCAACAAATATAAAGCCAAACTTAAAGAATGGAGGGCCAAACACGCCCCCAAAAAGAGGAAGAAACAAAGAAAAAGTGTTACAAGGACTCAATCGACGCCACCTGCAGCACATGTGTCTGCTGCAGCAGCAGCAGACACATGTGCTGCTGAGGCTGGTGATGCTGCAGCAGATGATTCAGCTGCAGACGTTACTGGGAAAGATGGTGACGACGAAGAGCTGCAAAGCGAGGAGAAGCAGTGCCAAAGCCGAGAAGCAGAAACCGCAAATGCTGCCACAGACGTGCCGGAAAGCACGGACGATACCAGAAGCAGCAGCAGGCAGTCTTCGAGGCTTGAGGCTCCAGCTGCTGCTGCTGTTGCTGACGCGGACGCGAGCAAAGACTTGAAGAAGGCGGCTGCTGCGGAGGCAGCGTGTGCCTTGACGGTAGCGTAGCCAGCAGCAGCGAGGTTTAGCTGCAACTCATTCGCAGGAGGAGCGAACGGCACCTTACCGCGCTCACAGCAACGCTGATGAGGGATCATTTCAATCAGCAGGCCTCTTCAAGGCCGTACGTTTGGATTCAAAGTAGCTTTTGTCTTGAGTCGCAAGGAAATGGATCACTTGTCGATGGCCCCACTTCACTGCCGCGAGCCCAAGCTACGGCGAATCGCCAATGCAGCACGAATGGGCCACAAGCTGAAGAGGTGGACGCTGGAGATCCAGTGGGGCGTAGCTGATGCAGCGGCGAGCTTAACTGATCAGCTGCTGCGAGGACACGAGGGAAATGGGCAGCAATGCTTTTTGCCTGCGAGCCACTTACTGTTGTTTGCTGTCCAACTTACGGGTTCAGTGCGAACTAGAGGGAGAAGACTCACTTACTTGGTTTCTCGCTCGGTTGTCGGTTCGCAATCCCCGCGACAAATTAAGGGGCCGACAACCTGCGCCTGGCCGGGGCGTCTTCCCTCTTTGAGCGAAGAGCCTCCTCAGGAAATGACAAACCGAGCGTTTTTGCTCAGAAGCAGTAGTGAAAGGTGAAAAATAACGAGTATTTCAGTTACTGATTGCTCTAGCGAGAGGTCACAACGGCCCCTGCCTGCACCTAAGGCAAGAGGGCGAACAGTTTTGCCTGTCAATCGAGCTCCGGTAGACCGTCGTGGCACAAGCGAACTGGCGACAGGACCACGACCACAGTGTAGGGGGACCACAGCGTAAAGATAACGCCTTCCGCTGTAGCACTGCAGCGGATCTCCGTACACAAATGTGCCTCCATGTAGCTTGCCGTCATCCACAAATGCACTCGACTACTTTGTATCAAGCCAGTCGAAACGTGCATTTCCAGATTTGGTACTGAGGCTAACAAACCGAGTCGGCACCTCCCTAGCTACACGGCTTCTGCTGCTTCCTCAACGAAATACAACGCAAACCTTGTAACTGCCCCTACCTCTGTAAACGTGCTTTCCGCTTAGAAGTGCTGCCGTGGCTACTGAGCGCGACAAACTGCGTCCTCAAGCGGCCGTACTCAAGCGGCCAATCGCCAGGATACTAAAATTTAACTCACCTCAGATATTGGAGCTACCGCGTGGGGACGCCCATACGGGCGGGTAGGGGACAGCACAATGCCTATTCTAAAACAGCTACAGACGATAAAGCTACAATAAAGTTAACTCGCAAAATATTTCGCACCTGCTATACGCCAACAGCAGCCGCATACGCTGCAACTGTCGACAAGTTAAAAAAAAACCTGTCTACATGGTCGCAACTCCCGTCCACACGGCCTGTATGTATCCACACTGACCGTGCATACCGACTCTGCCTCAAGTAGAGCAAAAACCTCGAGCAATTAAAGTCCCACATCAAAGGTGCAGCTTGCATGAAAGCCTGCATGCCACCTCTCAGACACAGCACAGAACGAAGCGTAGAACTCTTCTAAATGTTTATGTCGAACAGCATCCTCAAATACGCCAGCTGCTTGCCGGCGAAAGTCAGATGCTGCTAGTTACGACCAATGTGCCCTTTGTGCCGGATCTTTGCCTTCACAAGTTCGACCTTGCCTACGACCTCCAAATCGAGAGTGATCGCCTTACACTCCGCTGTCCCTCAAATCTACATGCCACCTCTCAGGCGCAGCACCAAGTGAAGGGTGGACTCTTTCTGAATGTTGTAATCAGACAGCGTCCTTCCATCCTCCAGCTGCTTGCCGGCGAAGATAAGACGCTGCTGATCAGGAGGAATGCCCTCCTTGTCCTGAATCTTTGCCTTCACATTCTCAATGGTGTCTGATGGCTCCACATCGAGAGTGATGGTCTTCCCCGTGAGGGTTTTCACAAAGATCTGCATGCCACCTCTCAGGCGCAGCACCAAGTGAAGGGTGGACTCTTTCTGAATGTTGTAATCAGACAGCGTCCTTCCATCCTCCAGCTGCTTGCCGGCGAAGATAAGACGCTGCTGATCAGGAGGAATGCCCTCCTTGTCCTGAATCTTTGCCTTCACATTCTCAATGGTGTCTGATGGCTCCACATCGAGAGTGATGGTCTTCCCCGTGAGGGTTTTCACAAAGATCTGCATGCCACCTCTCAGGCGCAGCACCAAGTGAAGGGTGGACTCTTTCTGAATGTTGTAATCAGACAGCGTCCTTCCATCCTCCAGCTGCTTGCCGGCGAAGATAAGACGCTGCTGATCAGGAGGAATGCCCTCCTTGTCCTGAATCTTTGCCTTCACATTTTCGATGGTATCTGATGGCTCCACATCGAGAGTGATGGTCTTCCCTGTAAGAGTCTTCACAAAGATCTGCATTGTAGCGCGGCGAAGTCTTGAGGCTTGGCTGCGGCGGCTTGTATTCAAGAATGCAGCGGAGTGAGTTTCGCCGGCGGTGTCGACGGACCAAAAACAAAATGATATAAAAGTGAGCTGCGCGGAGGCGCCGAACGCTTGAACTGGACGTACACCTCAATCCTGAAGTGCAGCAGGCGCCGTCACAGAGTGTCCCGACGCCACCTACGAGCGACTTGACCAAAAAATGGAATTCGTATTGGAATTATCTTCTAACTACTTGCCAGAATAATACTCAGATAAGCATGCCAAGAGAAAGCAACCTATTGCACGCGTCGTGGGTCCTGTGGCGGTGGATGGCAACGCTCCGTGCGGCGCCCTCCCCTGCGCCTCCATGATGAAGGCGGAAACAGCGAGCAACTACCTGCAAGCTGAGCTTACTAATGAACGATATTGCTCTTATATAAATTAAGATTGATCAGTTAATAGGCTTCAATTCTGGCGAATATTTGACTAGTTCCTGCCATTTACACCTAGCAGCGTGACGGCCTACGTAGTGCGCTTCATCCAGTTCATTTGCAGCGAACGCAGTACCATGAACGTAGACAATACCAGAGACATTCTTTTGCATTTACCCTGCAGTTCATAGCTTATTCCAATTTTTGTATCTATTGCTTGCGCATTCTAATCGCTTCGGCTGCTTTCTGGTAGGCACTGCACAAGGTCGTTCCCTAATGTGTGTACGCGGTGGCCGCTGACCCCTTTTCGCACCGCCTCGTTTTCTTCGTTCCGCCACCAATTTCTAGAGTATTCGGTCTTTTCGAGACGGGTACATGAATGAATTACTGCCACTTCACTTGCGTGCACGTGCCCCGCCACACATCACCATCAACCCTGTCCGCTGTGACGGCCGGCCCCTGCAGCACAGGGCTTTAGACTACCCTAAGCCTTCATCATGCAAGCAGACTGGCAACGACTGGCAAAACGTCTGCATGCACAATATGTCTGGAGAATAATAGTTGTTCAGCACACGCCGCACTGTAGCGGAGTTGTTGCACTGGAGTCATGCAAAGGCTGCGCGTCTCTTTACCTCTCAATTGAAGGCCGTTAGGGCAGGCACAATGCACTTGCCTTGGCTAATTGCAGCTGCATACAGTAATTATTCCACAGAGAATGAACGCCATAGGATATCAGTGGCCGATTCCTCTCGATCTCTGCGATTTTCCAAGCGCGTCAACCGAAATACATGTTGCATGTTTGCGAAATTTTGCAAGAACAGCAGTTCATCGAAAAGCAAAACCTCGCGTGGCACTTGTACACTGTAGTCAGCTTAATTATCACACCACAATTTGAGTTTCTACTAATTTTCCTGAAGCAGAAACATGCTGTTACGTCGACACGCAATAACAACCGTTGGAGCTTGTCCGAAAGCTTACTAACTTCTGGAGGCACTACGTCAGCTCTTGCTTTCGCGGCCCTTTGGAGGTAGCAGCAGTTTCACAATGTTTGGGAGTAAGATTTGATCTTCAGGATGCAAGCTGTAGCAGCGGTGAACAGTGCAAGATACAATGCACAGTAAACTTGATTCTCTGTACTGTTCAAGCGCCTTTAGGCCTTGAATTTCCAGTCACTACTCAGTGTACCAGCGAACGATGTGAAATATACCGTTTTGATGGCAGCAGATCATCTAATACGTCAACTCTTTAAGCCGCACATTCGTTTTCCTAACAGTAAACAGTAACTGGCGTGGAGCCTCCAATCAGGCCCACGTAATCTCCACTAGGTGTCAGGCATTCCGCCCAAGTGAGTAGGCGTCCGAAGCTCCTAAAGCCCTCAAGATCCAGTTGGATCACTAAGCTTTCTTTCTGTTTGCTGCCAAGTTGAGGCGAGCTTGGTAAGCAAACTGAGAGCCAAAGCTGCAACATTTGCATGCAACACGGCTGCGCAGATATTCCTCTGCAAGAGAGCTACAGAAAATGACCGCAATGGGCGAATGCTGTTTATTTTTCATTATCAGTGTATCGCCGCCGCAGTGCAGCTGCGCAACAAGTTGGAATTCATCTATTGAACAAGGAATAAATGAAGGCCGAGGTTCTGTTAAGACGTTATAAACAGTGCGAACACACACGAAATACTTACCTTCAACCATAAATAGCAAGAGTTAAAGGTTGCTTCGTGTTCATCTCTGCTTGTCTACTTGTTCACAGCCTGCGGATCCCTGAAAAACTGAATTTTCAACTTTAGCCGTTATCTCAGCAGCAACAGCAAGTTGGAATTCGTGCTCTCTGTTCGAAAAAAGCTGTATTTGCTGCGGCGTCACGCAGCAACTCTCTCTAGCCGCAGTGTCCAATATTAAGTCAGCCTTTTTGTTAATTTCCGTGGCCTTGAAGCCACCCTTGGCAGTCACAGCAAAAGCCCCAGGCTGGAGTGTGGGCTGTGAAATCTTCACCATAGACTTAATAATTGCTTCCAGAGTTGTCTCATGCTACAGATGAGTTTCTGAATTCGCATGACACTGCTGCTCTCTCTTACCACTGGGATGCGCTTTCTCCCCAATGAGCCCCCTCCCCCCGCCATTCTAGTGAAATAAAGAAGTAGCTGGTCAAAAAGAAGGAAATAAACATAAAAGGAAATGGTGTCGATTGCAGCTGCTTCAGCCCTGTCTTCAGCCAAGGCCAGGTGACCGCAGAACCATTTCCAAAAAATTTCACGTCGGAACGCTCGCACCGGGGAGCAAGCTCTTCCTCTTTCTCCGAAATTTACTTTTAAATTTCTTGAAAATTATACTTTTAGCGAATAAATTTGTGCCAAACTCGGGAACTTATGTTTCTTCGGAGAGATCATGAGCAGCAATTGTGCGGGCGAGCGAGACGGCTCCATTCCCGCTGGTAATTAGTTTTCTTGAAATGTTTGCAGCTGACGATTACTTCCTTCTCACAGTCTTCCCAACAATATATCTGCCTTAGTCTTTTCTGAGTCAAAGGTGGTTCGGCTTATTCCATTTGCAACTCCTTTGTTCAGCTTACGATTATGCCAGTCCGCGGGCGCCGCTGCAACAAAAAGTTGAACTAGACATTAATAGGCCTTCGAAGAAGCCCAGAGGCTTTCTTTCGCAGAGATTCCATTATTATTATACATTCAGAAACCCTGTGGGAAGCATACCACATGGTATTTCTCTTGAAATGGCCGCAAGACGCCTCAGTTCAAATCTCGAGTGGCGGCGGCATCAAGGCAACTGCAGCAGCAGCAACAGCAACAGCAGCAGCAGCAACTGCAGCAGCTGAAGTTCGGGATAAGTGGCTGACTGCGTATCCCTGAAACAGGCCGTGGGGTGAACTGGGAGAAATACTTCTCCGCCACTAAGTTGTTCCTTAGCTTGCTGCTGATCACCGCTAAATATCAGTATTTTTAAGGCCTGCAAAGCCTTCTAATTGAAAGCTGACTCCTCCTTTTACGAGCTTCAACAAAACTTCACTTTTTAATGGAGGACCCCCACAGCACAAAGCCCTGGGGGCCCCCGCCCCATTCAGGGCTGGCGCAGAGGGTGCCTCCCTCCCCCCAGCAGCAGCGCCCGTACGTAGCAGCAGCAGCAGCAGCAGCGCAACTGCAGCAGCAGCAGCAGCAGCAAGTGCTGCTGCCGCAGACTGCAGCCGCCCACCCCTACGCACCCCACCTGCAGCCTCGGCCTCAGCCGCAGCTAACTGAGGCCTTCGACCCTCACAGCTGCTGCCTCGAGCTGACCCGCCTGCCTGCAAGCAGAGCAGCAGCTCCAGAGCCCCTGCTGCAGCAGCCGTTTCAGCAGCAGCAGCAGCAGCAGCAGCAGCAGCAGCAGCAGCTCAGCAGCTCAGTTCTCTATCAGCCGTGGGGGCACTTGCAAGCAGTGCGTCTCAAGCCCTCTGCACTTCCATTGTTTTCTATTTTTAGTTTTTAAATTCTCTTCCCCCAATTTCCCATTCATTTCCTTTTTCTGCTGCCCAAATGCAACACTTTGAATCATCTAGACTTTCTTTTTCCTTCTTTTTTTCTTCATCTAAATGTTTATGCCCTTAATACCAAACCCTCATGCCACTAAAAGGCTCTCGATTCATTTGAACTATAGTTCCTGATATGTGTCCTTGCTGCTCTGCTGCTCATTTGCTGCTGCTGCTGCTGCTGGTGCTGCTGCTGTGCTTCAGGGATATCCCACTCAGGCCCTTGCTGACTGCGCGCTGCCAGCCCCAGCTCCTCCTCCAAGCCCCACGATCGGGTGGGGCCCCTGTGGGCCCCCCTGTGGGCCCCCCGCTGGGGCCCCCTGCGCCGGCGCTCCCTGTGGGGCTCCCCCTGGTGCGGCCCTGGGGGCCCCCCAGGTGGCGGCGGCTGGGCCCCCGCTAGGGGCCCCTCACGGGGCCCCCCACGCCCCGCCCGCTGGAATTGCCCTCGGCCCCCCCGCAGGGCCCCCCCTAGGGGTAGCGCACGGGGCCCCTCAGGGGCCCCCCCCTGGGGTCCTGCACGGGCCCCCGCTGGGGGCGCCCCTGGGTCCCCCGCTGGGGGCCCCGCTGGAGGCCCCGCTGGGGGCCCCCCTGGGGGCCCCGCTGGGGGGCCCCCCGCGGGTGAGCTGCGTGCGCGAAGAGGGCGAGGAGGAGGAGAAGGAAGAGGCGGACTCGGAAGTGGAGGAAGAGGAGGGCCGGTGCATCCCGGGGGTGGTGTGGACTTGGCTTCGGGCGTTCTTTCCCAACACTCCGCCCTTCGTTTGGTTTTTTCTGCAGTTCTTTGTTTGCTTTTTGCTGCTGCTGATGGGCCTCGAGAGCATTTCCGCAGCAAAGGCGGACTTCTTCTTGGCGCGCGCGCCCGCGAACTGGGCGCCCACCTCCAAAGACGCCAAGCCCCCGCTCGAAGTCGTCCGCCGCGCACCCCAAACCCTAAACCCTAAACCCTAAACCCTAAACCCTGAAGCACCACGCACGGGGAGGGCGAAACGCGGAACGCGAAACGAGGGATTTGGGCTGTGGGCGCCAGCAGGCACTGCTCCGCTTCGGACTGCGGCCGGCTGCTCAGCGCCGAAACTCAACACGAAACCCTAAACCCTGACCCTAAACCCTAAACCCTAAACCCTAAACCCTAGACCCTAAACCCTTGCTCTTGTTTGAATTTTGCAGATAGGGGATGTCACGAGCCACTCGCTGCTGCTAAACGGCTCCACTGCTTTTTTCCATGTGGTGTTGTTGAACATTTGCTTCTTCCTTTGCTTCATGCTGGCCAGGTGAGAAACCCTAAACCCTGAGCCCTGGAACCTAAACTCGAACCCCAAACCCTAAACCCTAAACCCTTTCCGCAAAACTCTAAACCCTCCCTTCTGGGCCATAAACCCTAAAACGCGATCTTCCAGCACAGGAAGCTGCAAGCAGTCACACATTTTCCGCTATCCCTCTCGCGTGTGAATAAAGGGTTTAGCGCTCAAAGCTCAGAACTAGGGTTAAGGGTTCAGGGTTCAGGGTTTAGGGTTTAGGGTTTGTGGCTTGCTTGTCAGGGTGGTGGTCATCCTCGGGCTGCTGCAGGCGGTGCGCCACGGCATGCCTGCAGCCACTGCTTTTGCTGCCACGATAGACCCCGAGATCTTTTATGTCCCCTGGAGCATTTTCGTCTACGTTTGGTGGCTCGGAAATGCGAAAGAAAGTGACTCTCAGCAGCAGCAGCAGCAGCAGCAGGCGTAGCAGCAGCCGCAGAACCAGCACTGCAGGCAGCAGCGACACGGGGAGTCGCCCTGCAACGCCGCTCCCACCACACGCCCCGCGCATCCCCCCAGCGACCCCTGCTGCCGCCGCTGCTGCTGCTGCTGCTGCGCTGCTGCTGCAGGCCACTATCTGATTCTGTCGAAGACGAGCGAGGAGCCTCCGGAGCCGCTGATGCACTTCCTGCTGTTCGGGCCTTCGCTGCTGTTCTCGCGCTCGCTGCTGCGGATGATTCAAGTCACCAACATTGTGCTGATGGTGTTGGCGCTGCGGCGGCTGCTGCTGGCCATTATGGTCTTTTGCTTCGAACTCGGATTCCTCATGAGCATGAACGCCCAAGTCGTCAACTACCTCCAGCGCTCCTCCGCAGTCCGCAAACTCAACGCCAAGTGGCTCGCTGCGGCGTACGACCACCAGCAGCAGCAGCAGCAGCAGCAGCAGCAGCAGCAGCAGCGGTAGCAGCAGTAGCAGCAGCAGGCCTGCAGCAGCAGGCCTGCAGCAGCGGCAGTAGCAGCAGCAGGGGCGGCAGAGGCGGAAGCAGCAGCAGCAAGACGTGAATAAAATAAAACAGGAACTTAGTGAAAGCAGCAGTAGCAGCAGCAGCGACTGGAGGCTGCGGCATCGTTCCCTGTTTCTGCTGCTGCAGTGCCTTTGTGCTGCAGGTGCCGCGAACAAGACAAAGAAGCAAATAAAGAAGCAATTGAGCCCTCCACAGAAGATCAAACTCTTGCTGAGGATACGCTGGAGTGGGAAGGCTGCACTTTAAACCAGCAGCAGCAGCAGCAACAGCAGCAGCAGCAGCAGCAGCTACGTGCTTCTCAGGGCGGCGGTGCTGCAACGCCGCACATTTACAAACACCGCGCCAGCCTTCTACAATCTTCAGATCACCAGAAGGTTACTAAATCCCAGCAGCAGCAGCAGCAGCAACAGCAGCAGCAGCAGCAGCAGCAGAAACCTGCTACTTCCCGCTGGTGGCTCCGATTGAAGCAAAGGTATGTAGAAGCTGCTGCTGTTTTCGAAAACAGGACGGCAGCAAAATGGCATTAGAGAACAGATGGCACGAGCGAAATTTCTGGCCGTCTGCTGCTGCTGCTGCCGATGCTGCTGTTGTTTCTGCTGCTGGGAGTTTACAGCTTTCTGGCTAGTTAGATAGCTAGCTGGACACCTAGCTAGCTAGCTCTATAGCTAGCTAGCTAGCTAGCTGCTAGGCAGCTAGCTAGGCCATCAGCCAGATAGCTAGCGCCTGCTTGTGCATCGCGGGAGTTGTGCTGGGACAGGCTGCGTTAGATGCCTCGCAGGCCTCCAGACAGCCGCAGCAGCAGCAGCAGCAACAGCAGCAACAGCAGCAGCAGCTGCCGCAGCCGCCGCAGCAGCAGCAGCATTGGGAGGACTCGTTGCAGCCTCTGTGTGCGTTCGCATGGGTGTCTGTGCTTCTTGCTGCAGCTTGCTGCTGCCGGCAAAGGCGCTATGCAGCGCTTTGAAGCTGTTTGCTGCAGTGCCGCAGCAGCGGCGGCTGCTGCAGCGGGGCGGCATCAGCAGCAGCAGCAGCAGCGACCGCGGGGGCCAGTCTGCGGGCTGGATGGACTCCGCGAACGAGGGCCTCTTTTTGCTGCCGCTGAAGCTAAATGGACTCGCCAGCACAGCAGAAAGGCTGCAGGAAAGAATGCTGCAGGGCACTGGTAGGCCGCAGCCCCAGCTGCTGACCCGCGCTGCAGCAGCAGCAGCAGCAGCAGCAGTTGTCACAGCAAGGCGTTTCAGGCTGGGACTAGATGTAGAGCTGCAGCAGCTGCTGCTGCAGCACGGAAGCCGCAGCAGGCGCCCACTACCTGATGTGCCTTTTACTTGCCTTCCTGCTGCTTGTGCTGCTGCTTGTGCTGCTGCTTGTGCTGCTGCTTGTGCTTGTGCTTGTGCTGCTCTTCTTGCTTCCGTTCCTGCCGCTGTTTCCGCTGCTGTTTCTGTCGCTTTTTTGTTGGCCTTGGTGGCGCCTCCGGCGCTTCTGCTGCCGCTGCTGCACCCCTGCTGCTGCTGCTGCTGCTGCTGCAGTGCTGCCAGAGCCGCTGCGGCCGCGGAGCATCGAGCGCAGCAAAACTTCTCAAATAAGGAACTGGCTGAACATTCACTACTGCCTGGACTTTCCTCCAGTTATATTTTTAAAGGGAAGAAGACTGGAGCTGACAAACAAGGAAGTTGCGAGACAAGCTGCTGCAGTGCTTTTTGCGGAGATGCTGCGGGAGGCCCGCAGCGCCAAGAGCAGCAGCAGCAGCAGCAGCAGCAGCAGCAAAGCCGCCAGGGGAGAAAACGGGGGGCAGCAGCAGCAGGGCGGGGGCCCACAAGAGGGCAGGCGCCTCAGCGCGGTCGAGCGCAGCAACTGGAGCAGCAGCCGACAGCAGCAACAGCAGCAGCAACAGCAAACCAGCAGCAGCAGCAGCTCAGACGACATCGACAACAAAACTGTCTCCTCCCATCCAGGCGCAGACACCCCAGGGATATTTGACTTTCAGCCCCCTGCAGCAGCACAGGGCCCCACAGCGACGAACTGCCCAGCACCCTGCCTGCAGCAGCAGCAGCAGCAGCAGCAGCAGCAGCAAGCGAACAGACAAGGCTCCGCCTCCCGCGCAGACACTGAGGGACTTATGAGATGGCAGCAGCGGCTGGGAGAGGCAACTGATGCGCAGGAGGGCCCCACGCTGCCGCTTTTTGTTCTCAAGAACGATTCAGCTGCTGAGGGGCAGCAGCAGCAGCAGCAGCAACCGCTGCTGCTGCTGCAGTCTCCGGTAGGCTTGGAGAGGGACTATGTGGAATGCGCGTTGCTGCTGTTGCTGTTTCTGCTTCTGTCTCAAGTGCTCGTTGTGGTGCTGCTCTTATTTCTTGCTGCTGCTGACACCACTGCTTTAACCCTAAAATTTCTGCTGCTGCTGCTGCTTTCGCTGCTGCTGCTGCTGCTGCGCAGATAGAGGCCAGTGGGGCCCTTCTCCCTGCTTCTCAAGCCGGCGACCTCTTAACCCCCACTGAAGCAGCAGCAGCAGCAGCAGCAGCAGAGACCCCGAGGCCACCCGAAGAGTCCCCTGCCCCTATTCTCCAAGACGATGCGCAGCAGCAGCAGCAGCAGCAACAGCAGCAACAGCAGCAGGGTTTTGAAGACTCTTCTTTAAGACAGGGGACTCCCCCGTTTTCTTTGGACTTTGCAGCAAATGAAAGCCCCGCCCAACGGGAGGGCAGCACCGAGACCCTCGACGACAGCGCAGCTACCCAGCAGCAGCAGCAGCAGCAGCAGCAGCAGCAGCAGCAGCAACAGCAGCAGCAGCAGCAGCAGCAAAGGCAATCTGCGACGTTGCTGCTGCGCCGTCTCTCTGCGAGGAGGCGGGCCAAGAGGCCGCGGAGGCAGCTGCTGGCAGCAGCAGCAGGAGGGCGATGTCTGCAGCAGCGGCTGCAGCAAACTCGAGAGAAGAGAAGCAGCAAATTGCTGCTGCCCTCCGAACAGCATTTAGATGAGAGCAGCTGCGGCAAAGAAGACAAGCAAGAAAAGGAAAAAGAAGAAGTTCAGGCGAAAACAAATGCCGGCAAGCAGCACGGAACTGCTGCTGCTGCGTTTGCTGCAGCCCTCCCCGCCACGCTGCGCCAACTGCAGCAGCAGCAGCAGCAGCAGCAGCAGCAGCAACTCGCGTTGCAGCATCCCCCATTTCCCATAATTGGCAGCAGCTCGCTGGAAACTGCTTCAAGGTCCGGGTGTACAGACACCCCAGAAATGAGTTTGTGGGCAGCAGTAAGGCCGCCGTGTGTCAGCCAAAATAATAAAGAGAAGCAAATTCAAATGACTGCAGCAGCAGCAGCAGCAGCAGACAGGGAGAAGGACGCCGCCTGCAGCACCGTAGGGCAACTGGGATCCACAGCAGCAGCAGCAGCAGCAGCAGCAGCAGACGAGCAGCAGTTTCTTAGCAGGGAAATCTTAGAACTGTATCTTAAGCCCGAAGAAGCTGAAGAGTTCATGAAGCATGCAGACCTAGCCGGTGATTGCTACGAAACCCTAAACCCTAAACCCTAAACCCTAGACTCTACACTATGAATCTTAAACCCTAGATCCTAAAACCTGAACCCCTAAATCCTGAACCCTAGGCCCCAAATCCTGTATCCCAAACCCTAAACCCTAAACCCTTGATCATAATTCGAAGCACTGCATTTGCTGCAGCAAATGGTTTTATTTTAAAGTTGGAAAAGAGGGAAAGAGTTTCTGCTGCAGACTCCACTGCAAGCCCTAGAACAGAGCAGCAGCAACAATCAAATGCATCAACTCTAGTCGCTGCTGCTGCTGCTGCTGCTGTTGCTGTTGCTGCGCCTGCCGCCGTCGCGGATACTGTTGCTGCTACTACCGCTGCCACTGCTGCTGCTGCGGTTACTGCTGCTGCTGCTGCCGCTGCTGCTGTTGCTGGTGTTGTTACCGTCACTGCCGCTGCCGTTGCTGCTGCTGCTGGTACTCCTGCTGCTGCCGCTGCTGCAATTGCTGCTGCTGCTGATACTGCTGCTGCTGCTGCTGCTGCTGCCGTTACCGCCAACGCTGTTGCCGTTACTGGCGCTGCTGCCGCTGCTGCTGCCGCTGCTGCTGCTGCAGGAAGCAAGAGAGCTGATGGAAGAATAAAGAGGCAGCAGCTGGGGCTTTTCTGCATGCATTAATTGCTTGTGTCTTTTTGTTTTTCTGTCAATTTTTCTTTTCTCTTTGCTAAATTGAATATGTACTTCACATAAATAAACGCAATAAAACATTTATTGGAGCATTATTCAAATAAAAATGCATTCAAATGTATTTTCGTAAATGCACAAATGCATATTCTTTTTGTTCTTTTAAATGGCGAAAAAAAAGAGAAAAAGTATATTCGCAATGCATGCACAAGTGCCAAAAAAGGACAATGAAAAATAATTTGAAGTTGCATTTAAAAGAAGTTAAAAGCTGCATGCACTTGAAGTGCCTTTGCTGCTGCTGCTGCTCGTGCTGGTGCTGCTGCTGCTTCTGCTGATGCTTTTACCACTCCTGCCGCTCCCATTGTTGCTGCTGCTACCTTTGCCGCTGCTATTGCTGCTGCTGCTGCTGCTGCTGCTTTTGCTGCTGCAATTGCTGCAACTGCTGCTGCTGATGCGTGACGTGTAGGCCACGGGAAAATAAACCGCGTGATGTTTCAAAGGGCGGTGCTGCACATTTACAGCCTCCGGAAGAGACTCATTAGGGCTCTCAAGGCAAGCTTTTGCTGCTAATGTTAATGCTGCTGCTGCTGCTGCTGCTTTTGCTGCTGCTGCTCGTGCTGTCGCTGGTGTTGCTGCCAATGATGTTGCTGTTGCAGGTGCTGCTGGTGCTGCTGCTGCTACTGCTGCAGCTGCTGCCTTTGCTGCTGTAAGAAACTTGTGAGGGTTCTCACTGCCGCTGCAGCTGCTGCCCTTGCTGCTGCTGCTGCTGCCGCTGCTGCTGCTGCTGCGTGGAATTGGAAGTTCCTGCGGGGAATCTGGCTGCGAACCCCAAGGTTTGCCGTTTCTGCTGCGTGTTGCATGCGTTTTGCATGCGTGTTGCATGCGTGTTGCATGCGTTTTGCATGCGTTTTGCACGCGTGTTGCATGCGTGTTGCATGCGTGTTGCATGCGTGTTGCATGCGTGTTGCATGCGTGTTGCATGCGTTTTGCATGCATTTTGCATGCGTTTGTCTCAGAGCCAGGCAAGCATTGCTTCGACAGTGCTGCGGATGATGTCGGTGCTGCTCTGGTTTGTGGCAGTGATCGTTTTGCTGCTGGTCTTGGGCGTGGAAATGAACACCGTGGTCATGTCCGGCGCGGCCTTTCTCTCCGCAATCACTGTTTCCCTAAGTGCGCTCAGGGTTTAGGGTTTAGGGTTTAGGGTTTAGGGTTCAGGGTTTAGGGTTTAGGATTTGGGGAGACCGGACTAGCTGCCTCCTAGCTAGCTGGCTTCCTAGCTAGCTCCCTAACTAGCTAGCTGCCGACTCCTAGCTCCTATCCCCGCGTAGCTGCCAGCTAGCTAGCCCCCAGCTGGTGGCTAGCTGGTGGCTAGCTGGCGGCTAGCTGGCGGCTAGCTGGTGGCTAGCTGGCGGCTGGGGCTGCGTGCGTGTGGGGGGAGGCTACATTTACCAGCACTTCATCACTGCAGTGATCTTTGTGGCCTTCACTAATCCCTACAACATCGGCGACCGCGTCCGCGTCGACGGCGGAGAGATCCTGTACGTGCGCCGCATCCGTACGTACACCACAGAGTTCGAAACCATGCACGGCAAGCCGGTCAGTCCTCACTTCTTTCTTTTTGCAATTTCAACTTTTCAACTTTTTTGTTTCTTTCTTCTTGAAGTCCCTCACTTCTTTCTTTCTGCAGTTTCAACTTTTCAACTTTTTGCCTTTTTTATTTTTTTTTTTCTTCTTGAAGTCCCTCACTTCCTTCTTTTTGCAATTTCAGCTTTCTTCTCTTTTATTTGTTTCTTTCTTTTCTTGAAGACTTTCGCTTCTTTCCTTCTGCGGTTTCAACTTTTCTACTTTTGTTTTTAATTCCTTCTTTCTTCTTTAAGCCTTTCTTTCCTTCTCACGCGACTTCTGCTGCTGCTGCTAATTGTTGACTATGCGTTGCTGTTTGTTGCATTTTATGGCAATTCCTTCTTGACTTTGTTTGTGTTTTGCTGCTGCTGCTGCTGCTGCTGCTGCTGAAGCTGATATACAGCAACGCGAATTTGTTTTCGCGCGTCATTACAAATGAGTCGCGGGCGAAAACTTCGACTTTCGAGTTGGTGGTTTCCGTGAGTATATACACCCCGCCGGCGCTGCTGAAGGGACTTGAAAAGGAAATGAAAGCTTATGTGGAGGCTCGAGCCATGGACTTCGTCAAAGACAGCTTCCGGCTGCTCGTTTACGAGGTTTCCGCTGGCCACTGCATCAAGGCAAGCCCCCTGAGGGTTTAGGCTTTAGGGTTTAGGGTTTGGGGCTGAGCTGCAGCGCTCTCTGGGCTTCAGACTTCCCTTCTAGAAGCAACAAAACCCCGTTTCACTTCCTAGGGAGAAAGCTAGCCGCAGCTCTGCTGCAGCTCTTAGCTGGGGTGTACGTACACCTGGAAGCGCGGGCTGCCGCAGCGCTTAGCTGGGGTGTACGTACACCTGGAAGCGCGGGCTGCTGCGGCTGTGAGCTGCGGTGTACGTACACCGGAAACTGCGAAGAGCTGTGTGCATGCAGCTGGGCATGTGGCTGACTTGTGTGGAGGGCTGGGGCAACTGGACGAAAGTGCTGAAGGTGCGGTCTGAGGTGTACGTACACCTCGTGAAGGTGCTCTCGGAGCTGCGCATTTCCTTCCACCTGCCACAACAACCCGTTTCTCTCGTCAAAGAGACTTTTCTCCTTCCCCCTCAAGCTTCAAAGCAAGCCAGCGCGTCTTGAGGCCTCTGCAGCCAGCAGCTGCAGCAGAGCAGCAGCAGCAGCCACGCGGCGGCCCACAGCCTTCGCTGTGACCACTGGCGCTCTCGCTGCTGCTACTGCTGCTGCTGCCGTAGCAGCAGCAGCTTGATTAAGCGATGGGCGAATGCCAGTGTCTGCTTCTGCTTCAGCTGGCGATCCTTTTGCTGTTTGGAAAACGGAGTGTCTCGAGTGCCGTTTCCTTGAAGCTAAAATAGTTCATTTCACTTTCACTTTTCGATTTATTTATAATGGAATTAATTTACAAATTCACACTTCATTGTTAATTTATGTTCCTTAAGTTAGCCGGGTGTACAGACACCGTGGCCGTGTGGCCACTTGCCCTTCGCTGCTTCAGCAGCAGCAGCAGCAGCAGCAGCAGCTGTTGCCGCAGCAGGCGGCGCAGCCCCGAGCTGGATGGTTTAAATGAAGAGTTCAGTGCGTTTAGAAAGCAGTGCAGAAAGCTGCAGCTGCTTGGGATTTAAATAAGAGCTGCAGCAGCATCATAAATAGAGCTGCAGCACGAATAAAATAGGGCCCCCCGGCTTGGGGGCCCCGCACGCAAGTGCATCCGAAGCGCAGCAGCAGCAGCAGCAGCAGCAGCAGCAGCAGCGTTTGCTGCTGCCCCCCACGGGCTCGGGGCTCGGCCTTCGAAGAGCCAGGGCTCGCTGCCGGGCTCGTTGCCGGGCTCGCTGCTGGGGTTTGCTGCTGGGGTTTGCTGCTAGGGTTTGCTGCTGGGGTTTGCTGCTAGGGTTTGCTGCTAGGGTTTGCTGCTAGGGTTTGCTGCTAGGGTTTGCTAAACCCTCGCGGGGGCGCCTATGATGTCGACGAAGGCCTTCTTGAGAGAGGCGCCGCCGACGAGAAAGCCGTCGACGTCTGTACACCGCAGCAGCGCCTCGCAGTTCTGCTCCGAAACAGATCCGCCATAAACAATTCGAAGTTCTTCCGCGACGGCTTCCCCGGCCTTCTCCGCCACGAACTTGCGCAGCGCCTGCAGCAGCAGCAGCAGCAGCAGCAGCAGCAGCAACTCAGCAGCAGCCGTTCGCGGCAAGCGAAGCAGCTCTGGAGCCCCTTGTGCAAAATGAAGTTCTCGAAAAAAGATCCAAGTCCCAGAAAGTTGCAATTTGGAGTCCACTGCAGGAAATGGAAAACTAGTTTGCAGACTTTCGCAAAAGCTGGTCCAAACTCGAAGACACGGAGACTCGGCGGAAACCCCAAACCCCAAACCCTAAACCCTAAACCCTAAACCCTAAACCCTCACGGCGTGGACCTCCTGGGCCTGCTCGGGGGTGGCGACTTTGCCCGTGCCGATGGCCCAGACCGGCTCGTAGGCAATCACGACTCTGCGCCAGTCGGAGACTTTCGGAAGAACAGCTTCGAGCTGCTGCCTGCAGACCTCCATGGTCTTGTTCGCCTCCCGCTCCTCCAGCTTCTCCCCGATGCAGATCTGCAGCAGCAGCAGCAGCAGCAGCAGCAGCAGCAGCTCTGGGCGGCAGCGGGGAGGGGAGAAACCCGGAAACGGGGCGGCAGACGGGAGGAAACCTGCAAACAAACCGCTGCTCTGCTGCTGCTGCTGCTGCTGCTGCTGCTGCTGCAGCGGGACCCACAGTGACGTGAATGCCTTCTTCCTTCATCGCCATCGCCACCTTCTCAGCCACCACAGAGTCCGTCTCGCTGTAGTACTGCCGCCGCTCGCTGTGGCCCACCATCACCCACTTCAGCCCGAAGTCCTTCACCATCCCGGCCCTGCACAGTGCAGCAGCAGCAGCAGCAGCAGCAGCAGCAGCAGTTGGGCTGCGAGGTCGCGCGTTTCGTGAATCCGCGGAAGGATAAACGCACATCTTCTGCTCGACAGATGAAAGCATAAATTGCATTTTGGCGAGCCAAAGGCGACAAAAGCCCGGGATCAGGGGCTGCTGCTGCCGGGGTTTCAAATGGAAAGCAGCAGCTGCTGCAGCTGCTGCAGCTGCTGCAGCTGCTGCAGCTGCTGCTGCCTTACGTGATCTCGCCAGTGAAGGCGCCAGGGCCCGTCTTTGAAATGTTCTGACATCCTATTTGAAAGCCATTCTTCAGTTTCTCCTTGGCAAGTCCGATGTGCAGCGCCGTGGGAAACACGACCACCTCTGCACGTTCAAGAGGGCACTCCGCACGCAGAACCCCGTCGAAGTCGGCGAAAAAAGATCAAAAAGCGTAAAATAAAAAGAAAATAAAAGGAAATGAAAGGACATAAAGGGCTAGTCACGAAGCAATGAACGAAGTGCTGCGAAAGGAAGTGCACAGTACTTCAACGCCCGCCAACCATGAACCCACCGACGCAAGAACCCGCCGGCTTCGCGCCGTTCTTATGAAATAAACGGCACAGCCGGTGGAGCAAAGAGCCTGCATGCAGCTTTCCGCATTCTGCCACAGGCACGGCCACGGCTGGCGGGCAATTCAACTTCACGAAGTTGCAAAGCCCGGCACGGAAAGCCGGCCAAACGCAGCAGCTACGCACGAAACCGCCGCCCAAAACTCATCAATTCCCACTAAATAGTGCCTCAAAACTGCAAAAAGCGCCAGTCATCCTGCAGAACTCTGCGCGGGACGAGGCGAGCACTGAAACACGCTAACTGTCCGGTCAAGAATAGCTCTGAGACGAGTTTCTCGCAGCTCCGGGAAGCCGGACCTCGACAAAAGAAACCTCGCGACATTTATCCAGCATGTATTGACAAATGAAATCACTGAACTCAAAGGCGTGCAGAGGAAGGCCCCAGTGGGACGTCTAGTGAGCGGCGGCAGCAGTTCAGGTTCGCGCTGCAGCAGCAGCTGCAGCAGCTGCTGCAGCTGCTGCTGCAGAACATACGCGTCGACTTACCCGTCTGGCTGGGGTCAAATTCAGCATGGTTGAGCTCCTTGGAAAGCTCCGTAATGGAAGCAACAGTGCCATTGGACTTCCAGTTGCCGCCAATCCAGGGAGTGCGTGGCATCTTGGCTGCGGCGAGAGCGAACGGGATGTGTGGCTCTGCGGAGCTGCACAAGTCTCCAGAAAAGAATCCTCGAGAGGACAAAAGAAAAGAAACTCTCTAAAGCTAAATTTTTTCCGTTTTCTATTGCCAGCTCTTATCCACGGCGTTCGCAGCGGTGCGAGTTCGCGCTCCCCGGGCCCCTCACCGTGGCTGCATGCGCCGTTCCACTCGCGAACCTTTCCGGCTAAAACCCAAACCCTAAACCCTAAACCCTAAACCCTAAATTAGAAGTGAAGAACACGATTAATCCGAATCAGCATCTACAGCTCATCTACGTCTTGCATAGGCAGAATACGAAACCCAGCGCCTGCGCACACTAGCCCAGCTGCTCCTACGGCAAGGGCTGCCTGGTATTACTTCCCGTTCTTCTTAATTTATTCTGCACATTTAAATTTAAAAATATAAATGTGAATCAAAATGTCGCGGTATTCAGCGGAAGGCGCCGCGGAAGGGTGTTGGCACTGGGCTGCTGGCTTAAGAATCTCAAGGGGAGTTGAAACGCAAGGAACTAGTTTGGCTTCAGCTTACCCGATTATCTGGCACATTTTTAACGTAACAGACTAGAACATTTTGATTTAATAAAAAGGAAAAGTCATATCTAGTGTTTACAGAGTGCCAGATTTAAATTTGCAGTAATAAGAGGGCTCATAATCCAAGTCCTAATTAGAAGGGAAGCGAGAAACCGCCCAGTAATTCTTAGTAGAAAAGGCAGCAAATAAGAACAGCGGCTAGCAGCACTGCAGAACTTAAAAGAATCTTTTTCTTTTTGCTCTGTTGGTAAGTTTAAATAGCCGGCGAAGAGGCAAAAGAGGAAACAAAAGGATGCATTTGGAGCCAGGTGTGAGACAATAGCCGTTCATTATGTGTGGCAATTTGTATTTATAAATATTTAATGTTTCAAAAGGAATAGTTCAAGTTTCTTCTGCTTGTTGGAGGTTCCACGCTTCCTCAGTTCCTATTCTTCTTCTTCTTCAAATGCGGAATGCATCTCTAGTGAATTGAAACTTCAGCTGATTTCCTTTTTTTCTGGATTTCCAATCACTTAATTCATTTAATTTAGGTTAAAGGGATAAAATATTTCTTTCTAGCCTTCCTTCAAGCTCCACTAGCTTCTGAGGTGGCTGGACTCAGGCAAAAAAAGGCAGCAGATGCTGGAGGTGTCCTATAGAGGCTCTCTACTGCAAACAATTTGAAGTATATGTATATATAATATATTTATGTAAACTTAATATTCATAATATATTTAATTTGATGCCGAATGCCTACTGAAGACCAAACTGCATCGTGCATATGCTGTTTGCTGCTAGGCAACGGGAAAGACCTTTCTAAAGTACTTTTGCTCAATTCAGCGCAAAGAACAAAAATCTTCAATGCAAATTGTATTTAATTTCATTTATTGATTTTAATTTATTTGTTTTTTAAGTGCTGAGGAAGCATCACCCTGCATCGTTAATTCCAAACGATGGAACACCTTCTGACCTGCAGCAGTCTCAAAAGCGCTTTCAGGCCCCTTTGTCTCTCTTTTTTTCCTTTTTTGTTCTAAATTTAGTTGAATAAAACAAAAGCATTTCGAGAGACGCCGCGACACTTATTATTTGTTTGTTTTGATGGCATTATTGCTGCTTTCAAAGTTCTCCACGCCTCTTGGCTAGCGATTAAGGTAAACTGAGCAATCTCAACATACATATATCATTAGGCAAACCCGTTTAAATTAAAAAAATAAATCATATATGGAATTAATTGCATTAATTTCAATTTTATAGTAGAGGGCATAGCAGGCGCAATGCGAGCGGGAAGCTTCTCTTTTTTATTTTCGGGTTTTTGATTGCTCAGTTCACGAGGTCTGAGATAATTCCTTTTCCCCTGCTGCTGCCTCATTTCCAGCTGTTTATCCTTTTATCTTTCTTTTAAACTTAAAAAATCACTTCTTCTTTTTAAAATCTATATGCTGAGTCACAGTGTCAAGAGCTGAACATGTTTCTTGCAAAACAAATATGTGTCTATTACTTTAAAAGGAATTCAAAATCAGCCGCTGCGCCTGCAATATCCCCAGCAGCAGCAATTCTATTTTAATAAATTTTAAAATTAGTTTTAAAACCTGCAACGACCATCAGTGACTTTATTTCAACTCAAACAGCTTCGGCACTTGCAGCTGGCTGAAAGCTGCTGTTTATTGAACCATCTACCCATATACATGCAAAGTCTAAATGCAAACATGAGTTTATACAAATATAAATACACTTGAGCTTTATACAAATATAAATACACTTGAACTCGCCATTATCTTTTCAATTAGTTGCTGAGACTGTCGATCCCCTTTCTAGAAATTCACTTCTTTTCCACAAACGGGAAAATGCAACTTCTTGAAAGTCCTGAAGAATGACTTTCCAGGACGAACTTAGCAAAGCATTTGTTCTAATTACTTGTTTTGTTTTAAAACTGTCGATTTAAAAGGCCTATTTGCATCTAATTGTTCTGTGTTGAACCAGTCACCAGATCACTTGAGCTGGCTGTGTTCAGTCTTTGCAGCATCGGCGCTAATTCGAAAACTCCAGCCTCCACAATTTCAACTTTTTAATTTTAATTTAATTTTCTGCAGTTGAATTTTGAAAAGGAGAAAAGAAGGAAGAAAACAACCTTAGGCTGCTGCAGCACCTCCTCAAGCTGCTGCAGCAGCACCAGCTTGATCTCGGCGCCTGAAGTTGCCTTCTTTCCCTGAAGTTCTCCTCATATAATACTTTTTAAATGCATTAAAAGGTTTTTTTGTCCTACATAAGCTCATTAGACTGACTAGAGAATCAAATCCCATTCGCAATCGACACCGGAGCCCCGCGGATTTGCAGTTCAAGTTTTTGAATTTGAAAAACGGGATCTTCTGAAACAAGAATTCCGTTTTTAATTTTGTTCTGCATTTTCTGCCGAACCCGCAGTTCTTTCTGCAGCAAAATAGAATTGAAAAAGATGCAGCAAGTGGGAAATTCAAGTTTCCTCAACTGAAAGCTGGCGAGGCCTCTGAAAACTCTTTAGCTGCATTTCCAAAAAAATAATATTCAAATTACCTTCTACTTTTGCAGAAAAGAACTTGTAGCAGAATTCATAAAGTTTGTAATCCACCAAGTTTCCCTCTAGAGAGCCAACGGCAGCAGCAGCCACAGCAAGCCGTTTCATTTTTGCGCTTTTTGCCCGATTTAAAGGTTTAAATTTTTTTGAAAGGATTTAAAAGTATATTTTTATTATTTTTAATTCAATTTAAAACAAAAATATGTCAAATTAAATAAAAAATGCCGAAGCCTACCAGTGACACTCATGCCGCTCGTTGGGTTTGCCCGAATGACCTAAAGAAAGTCCAAAAGACCAGCAGAAGCAGCAGTTTTCTTTCTTTTTTTTTATTTTTAAAATTAATTTTGCTAAATAGTGCGGCAGAATAAAGGAAATAAACCTGTAGGCGAGAAGCAGCAGACCAAAATCAAGCTGGGGGAAGCAGCAGCAGCTGAAGCCCGAGGCAGCCACCGCAGCAAGGCTCAAACCCAAAGCAGCAGCAGCAGCAGTATTCAAAACCAGCGCAGCAGCGGCAGCAGTGCCCTAAAAAAGAGAGCAGTAGCAGCAACAGGAGTGCGGAAAACAGCGCAGCAGCAGCAGCAGCAGTAGTGCCAAAAACGAGCACAGCAGCAGCAGCAGCAGGAGTGCCTAGTAAAACAGTTGCAGCAGCTAGGGAAACCAGAAGCGGCAGCAGAAGCAGCAGCAGCAGCAGCAGCAGCAGCAGCAGCCTCACAGCCTTGGTAAGCTGCTTCAGAATCACGGGAAGAGTTGGCGGCACATTGATTTGTTCTGCGCAGAATATGCGCTCGTACTTTATGTCTTCCATTTTGGTATGGTCTCAAAGGAGCTGCAGCAGCAGCAGCAGCAGCAGCAGCAACAGCAGCAGCAACAGCAGCAGCAACAGCAGCAGCTAATGCTTATCGAAGTAGAAACACAATTTGCTACAGTAAGGAGATGAAAATCTCATGAAGGCCAACAAGCCCTTGGGGAACTTCTTGGGCCGGAAAACCCTAACTCCCACAGTCAAACCATAAACCCTAAAAGCCCTAAACCCTAAACCCTCAATACTAAAATCCTAAAATAAAGCCCTGAAACATGTATATCAATATATATATATATATATCGATCAGCTGCAAAGAGGCTAGCAGTGCTCACAGCGCTGCTGCCTCCGTTACACAGCGTTAAGGGTTTATGGTTTACGGTTTAGGGTTTAGGATGATCCGTGGCTCCAGAGTCTAAATGAAAGAAAGAAATCCGTTAAAGAAAATGTTCATTTTTGGATTTGTGCTGATGGGCAAGTTAGCAGGAGTTTGGATTTGTGAAAGAGGTAATGAAAGCGCTTACTGGCTTTCTGGGATTTTCTTTTTTGAAGATTTCGAGAGTTTGGGGTCTAGAAGGCCCAAAAACCAGCTTTTTGTGCAAAATAAATAAGTAATTAAATAGATATTTGAAAAAAAGAAGATAAAGAATAATTTATAACTCAGTTTAGCCAAGATGAAGGGTAGTTTGGCCCCCTGGCGCTGCATGCATGCAGGCTGGGATGACGCCCGCAGTGGAAACTTCGCTTCTCCTCACTCCAGTTGTTTTTTTGCTTTTTAAAAACTCTTTTATTATTTATTTAATTTGCAATTTTATTTCATTTGCTCCGATGAACTGAGTGGAACTGCCGAAAGCTGCACCTTCTGGGGAGCCGCTGCCGGCTCAGCGGCAGCTGCAAATGCAATCGGGGAGGCCGATCGTCTTTCAGTTCTCTGGGGCGCGGCTCTTTTAATTTTTTTTAATTTTTAGGCAAATAAATATTGTTTTAAATTTGCTTTCCAAATTATTGAATTTGTTTCCCGGATTCCAAGCAGAAGGTTCAGATCCCAGGGTGTCCGGCCCGGTGGAACCAGGTGACCTGACCATTCAACTCTGGCTCGAATTCAAACTTCCTCCGGCCCTTCTTTTTTTTTCTTTTTATTTTTAGTCTTTAATTTAAAAGCTCTTTTTCTTTTTTCCATATTTCCTCAAAGCGGCGGCAGAAGAGCAGCTGGAGCTGCACACGAAATTTGCTGCTGCAGCGGATCCGGGGTGTATGTACACAGTGGGGCACTTTGCTGGCATTACTCGCAGCCATAGGCCACATAACTGTCTTCACTATTCAAAATCAATTCCTTTTTAATTATTTCAAACTAAGAGCTTTTATGAAGCCAACAACTACTGCTTTTCCTCCCAGAAACAGCTCAAATAGCCAAACGCGGCGGAGGAACGGCTGCAGCAAGCGAAGCTGCTGCTGCTGCTTCTGCTGCTGCTGCTGCTGCTGCTGCGAGCTCTATACTCCTTGGCCCCACGCTCGAGACCCCTAAAGTGTTTCGGGTTTGGGGTTATGAAATCTGGAGCTTCCTTTTAAGCCTTCTGACTGTTTGCATGCAGCAGGACAGCTACCACACCCCTAAACCCTAAACCCTAAACCCTAAACGCTAAACGCTAAAAGAAGAATCAGCTTTCCGTCTGAAGAGTCTTGAGGCGATGGGCTGAACGCCGCTGAAGCAGGTTGCTTCTAGACAGAGCAAACCCCAAACCCTAAACCCTAAACCCTAAACCCTAAACCCTAAACCCTAAACCCTGAATGTTGTATAGAGCGTCGAGCTTCGTGCGAAGGCGCAGCGCATGAATGAGTTGCATGCATTTTAAGTTGGCAATAAAAAGCATCAGTTCTAAAAATGAAAAATTTAAATTCTGAAGAGAATTAAAAAGAAGAATATTTGAAATGAAGAACAATTTGAAATGCAAGCAATCTGAAATAAAAGTAATCTGAAATAAAGAACATTTGAAATGAAAACAGGAACAACATGAAATAGAAGTAACTTGAAATACAGAACATTTGAAATAAAGAACATTTGAAATAAAGAACATTTGAAATAAAGAGCATTTGAAACAAAGAATAACATGAAATAGGGGACAATTTGAAACAAAGAAAAACAAGAAATAAAGAACAATAAGAACTAAAGAAGCATGAAGCGAAGAATAATTTAAAAGAAGAGGAAGAAATAAAGAGCACTTGAAACAAAGAATAACATGAAATAGAGGACAATTTGAAACAGAAAACAAGAAATAAGGAACACTGAGAACTGAAGCAAGAGGGAGTGGAGAACAAGTTACAAGAAAAAGAAGAAACAAAGAACAACTTGAAGAAAAGAAAGAGGAAGTGGCGAACAATTTAAAAGAAAAGGAAGAAACAAAAACACCTTGAGCAAAAGAAGCAGAAAGTGGAGAACAAGTTAAAAGAAAAAGCAAAAACAATAACTTGAAGGGGAGAAGCAGAAAGTGGAGAACAAGTCAAAAGAAAGAAGAAAAAGCCACAGGGCGGAGAACAAGTGGAAAGGAAAAGAAGCAAAAAGCAACAACGTGAACGGGAGAAGCAGAAAGCGGAAAAGTGGAAAGAATATCTGAAATGGCGGAAAACCCGGAGAGCAGTTTGCGCGGGCGCAGCGGCATTGAGGTGTACCTACGGCTGCGCCCGGGCCCGCGCGAAGCCGCGGCCTTCCGCGTGGGGCCGGAGGGAAAGTGCATAAGAACTAAAGTGCCAATTGGGGGAGTTGGGGGGGGTTTTCGAGAGCGCTCGTTCCGATTCGACGGGATTTTGGGGCCCCAGAGCTCCCAGGAAGATGTTTTCAAAGCAGTGGCGGAGCCCCTCGTGGAAGCTGCGCTGCAGGGCGTCAACGGGACAGTGTTTGCGTACGGGCCCTCGGGGTCTGGAAAGACTTTCACGATGAGCGGCAGCAGCAGCAGTTTCGAACTCCGCGGAATTATCCCGCGGGCGCTTTCGCGGGCTTTCGAGCTCGCTGCTGCCCGCTGCTGCTCCGCAGACTTCTGGATCGGAGTTTCTTACTTGGAGATCTACCAGGAAAGGGGTTTTGACCTTTTGGTTTCGAAAAAAGAAACAAGTGCTGCGCAAAGTCGCAGGGTCGAGGCCGCCGCGGACGCGCGCGGACAGCTGCTGCTGCGCGGGCTGTCTGTACACCCCGTCGCCTCCGAAGAGGAGGCCCTCCAGCTGCTCTTCCTCGGAGACGCCAACAGAACAGTTTCCGAGACTTTTCGAAACGAAACTTCGACGAGATCCCACTGCATCTTCACTCTGTGGATCGCCAGCCGCGCCCGCGGCAGCAGCAGCAGCAGGAAGGCCAAGCTCCACTTGGTGGACTTGGCGGGCTCCGAGAGAAACAAAACTAGTTTTAAAAACAGTTTCAGCAACGCTTCCCGAAACTCTCCTCAAAGTTGTCCCGAAAATAGTGCTTCTTGCCAAAAAACACTTCCCAACAACTCCAAAAATACTCTTTTCCAAGAAACCTGCAGCATCAACTTGTCCCTCCACTACCTCGAACAAGTCATCCTCGCTCTCCAGCAGCAGCAGCAAACTCCCGCCACCACCAGCAGCAGCAGCAGCAGCAGCAGCAGCGGCAGCAGGCACATTCCCTACCGGAACTCGCTGATGACTTCGGTGCTGAAGGACTCTTTGGGGGGCAACTGCAGAACTCGAATGATTGCAACAGCAACTTTGGAAGCAAATTGCATTCATGAAACAATTAATACTTGCAGATTTGCACAAGTTGTGGCCCAAGTTCAAAACTCCGCAGAAGTCAACGAGGAAGAAGACCCCGCGCTGCTGCTGCAGCGGCTGCAGCGCGAGAACCAGCAGCTGCAGCAGCAGCTGCTGCACCTCCGCCAGCAGCAGCAGCAGCACGGGCTACACGGACAGCCGCAGCTGCAGCAGCAGCACGGCGACGCAGCCGCGGCAGAACAGCTGCAGCAGCAAACCGAACTCACCGAACTCGAGAAGCAGTGGTGTGCTGCAGAGGTCGAGACCTTTCTTGCTGCTGCTGCTGCTGCGGAGCAGCAGGAAGAAACACTCGTAGCAGCCAAAGACCTGCGCCTGGCTGCTTACTGCTTCAACTTGCTGCGCGACAAATACAAACAAGCCCTAGCAGCAGCAAACACAAACAACAGCAACAACAGCAGCAGCAGCAGCAGCAGCAGCAGCAG